TTGTCCTCTTTGTCTCTAAAAGACTACTTTATTTATACATAAAAAATTAGGGATAGAGGGTGATAAAAGAAGAAAATTCATAATTAGTGGTAACTTCAATTAAAAAGAAAATTAAAATTTTTTTTTTGAATTTTGATTGAATGTGTTTTGATGCGTGGATATCTTGCCATAATAAAAAAAAGATGTTGAAATGATTATTTTTATGATTTTTTGCATATTTGTTTTGGAAGTGATAAAACAAAATTAAGTATTTTTTTATGATTAAAATAAATAAAGGTGAAAAATCAAATTAAGAAACTATTATTAATTTTTTTAAAACCTTTTTTAAATGAATAAAAATACAATAAAACAAAAACACAATATTCACCTTTTTTAAAATAAAAATAAATAAATGTTCAGACAAAATTGAGGTATGACAACTACCAATTAGTTTTTGCAACTTGTTAGCTTCACTAATCAACATAATTATCATATGACACTCAGGAATAGACAGGCGAAAATTGATTGGTTGGCTCGCAAATTTGTGTATACACTAAGACACACTCTTGAAATGAAAACTAAAGGGTTGATTGTAGAAGCCATTGAGAAGCGGGGGGTGAAGTTGTCAACGGGTCAAGCTTATAGAGTCAAGAAAAGAGAAATATAGTTTATTCAAGGTGTTGGTCATGAACAATTCAAACATCTTAGGAGTTATGCTGAGTAATCGTTAACGTTAAATCCTAACTCCACAATTAAAATTCAGTGTGACGATTCTGTTAGTGGTCTTGTTTTTGAAATAATATATGTATGCTTGGAAGCATGTAAAGTAACATTTCCAACCACGTGTAGACCTCTAATTGGATTGGATGGTTCTTTTCTAAAAGGTAACTTTGAAGGTAGGTTGATAAGTGTTGTTGGCAAGGATGGAAATAACAAGATGATACCAAAAACTTTTGAATTTGTGGAAGTTGAAACAAAGAACTTATGGTAGTGATTCCTTAGGTACCCACATCTTTTTGGGTCCTTTTCTGGTTAGCTCTCCCAGAGTTCTAAGTGAACTTGGGCTTTGTGCAGAATAATCAGTTTATGTATGTGCATAAGAGAAATGGGAATAAAGAGCTTTTGGTTATGCCTTTTGATTTAAAATAGGTTTTTCTTTAGGCACATAACCAATTCATCTTCTTCAATTTTTGCTAACTCTATAGATATTTAAGCCATTTAAATTCTATATAGGTTTCTAGCTAGAAATGTCTGAAAAGATTTATCATATTTCTTTATGACATTTTCATTATCCATAAAAGCTTTTGAAAGAATTTCTTCCTCAAGTTTATAACTCTTACTTTGAAGGGCATAGTTGTCATTTTTAAGAATAAATGTTTTCATTCATAGTGGATAATTCTTTCTTAAGCTTACTATGTGTTTCATATTCAGGTACCTGGGCTTGTTTCAGATCCTTGTATTTCATCTGAAGCTTCTGATACTTTTCCAAAATTTCAGATAAGCAATATTCTGATTCAAAATGAGATAGATCAGTAAATACCTCTTTAGAGTCTAACTCATATTCTAATTCTGATTTTCGATCGTGTCTTATCATCATATGCTTCTGTGCATGTCATCGGTGCTACGCTTGCTTGCTCTTCCTTAAAGTTATCTTTTCAGGATTCAGAGTCATCCTAGGTAGCCATCAGAACTTTATTCTTCCCTATGAAGACTTTCTTCTTTGGTCTGTCTTTTCTCAGCTTGGGACATTCATTTTTGTAATGACCTGACTTCTTGCAGTCAAAATAGGTAATGTATTTACTAGCACCTGACTTCTTCAATCCAGATGTAGACTCTAAGAGACCACATGTCCTTCTTGATCCTCTGAACTTTCTTTGTCTATTCTTCCAGAGTTGGTTAACTCTTCTGGAAAGATGAGACAATTAGAATCTTCTTCAGATTCCTCTTCTTCTTCTTCAGCTTGAAAGGCTTTAGTCTTTTCAGGCTGTCCCATAGATTTCAGAGCCACATATTTGACTTTTCTCTGAGGCTCGTTCTCTTCAAGCTCTATCTCGTGACTTCTTAAAGAACTTACAAGTTCTTCAAGAATGGTGTTGTTTAGATCTTTAGACAACTTTAGTGCAGTTACCATATGTATCCCTATCTTGGGTAAGCTTCTGATAATTTTCTTAACATGATCTGCAATAGAGTAACCTGTTTTCAGAACCTTCAGTCTTGCAACTAGAGTCTGAAACCTTGAGAACATGTTCTGAACTGTTTCATCATTCTCCATTTTGAAGGCTTCACATTTTTGTATCAAGGCAAGCACATTGGTTTCTTTCACTTGAGCATTTCCTTCATGAGTCATCTTTAAGAACTCAAATATAAACTAAGTTGTGTCTCTATTTGTGATTTTTTCATACTTAAAATATGATATAACATTCAGCAGAATGGTTCTAGCTTTATGATGATTTCTGTAATCTTTCTTTTGTTGATCGGTCACTACTCTTCTTTCTAACTTGTTACCACTATCATCAATAGCACAAATGTAGCTATCAACTACCATATCCCATAGATCCACATCATGACCAAGAAAGAAACTTTCAATTTTGTTTTTCTAATAGTCAAATTTTTCTCCATAAAAAACTGGGAGTTTGACACTATAGTGATCTCTGTCATTGTTAGAAACGGGTGTAGCTGGTGGAGGGACTCTTGCCATTGTGTTTCAAAAATTTGGATCTTTATCTGACACTGTGGAGTGTTTGATAAATAATTAATACCATAACCAGGGCTCTGATGCCAATTGAAGGTTACAGAAATAGAAGAAATAGGGAATTGAATTAGGTTTGTAGAATGCAAATCTTTTGCTACCTAAAACAACAATGAGATAACTTAGAATAATAATAATGAACACAACTATTTTTATCTTGATTCGCTCTTAACGAAGGTACAAGGTTTTTCACCTTATCACAAGTACTTAATCCACTATAACCAAACTTGATTACAACCATAAAGACAAACTGTCAATTTTTTCTTGAGAAATTCTGACTATACCATAGTCTCTCAAGAAAATACAACTCAAAAGTTGAGAAACAAAGTGTGTTACAAAACTGTTTCTATGAAAGCAGATTACACAAATATATTACAAAAATTTACACACAAAAAATCTTTTCTATAAAAGTGTAGGAACAAAAGTTCCTTGCGAGTATGCTTTTCTTTCTCTCAAAAGTTTCACAGTATTACAATGTTTACGTAGTAGTTGTTTTTGTTCCATTCTTCCAAGACTCCTTTATATAGGCAATAGAAAGATCTGTTGGAGAGAAGAAATGAAATTCCATAAGTAGTTGTATCCTTGCATAACGATTTGTGAAAATGGGAGAAAAAATGGTACAATAGTATAGTCTTTTTTCCACAAAATCAATATAATGGATATAATATTGATCTTGTATTATGTACTATTTTCTCACGTAAAACTTTTTAATTTTATCTTCTAATATTCAGAGGCTTCAGAAAGAGAGTTGATGAAGCACTCATAAAAGAATAAAAGTTTGTATGAGAGAGTCTTCAGAACCTAGTCTTCAGAGTCTTGATCCAGAGTCTAGTGACATAGTTCATTAGAGTTGTTAAGCGCAAGACTTCAGAGCATGATAAAGCTAGATGATTCTTTTATCATAGTCATAAACCAAAGCTTTCTGGATGAGCGATCATCAGAAACGTTGATCAGAGTAATCCAAAACTTGATTATCTTTGTAGAACACACATCGTTTTACTTCTTTGTAGTCAAAATTTGAACAACAAAGCTCGTTGTATCTATTTCTAGATTTGATTTGAGGCCAAACTTTATCCATAGTCACTGACTTCTTTAATGACATGTATTTTGAAACCTGCATGAGGCCTCAAAGTGTACTTGACATCCTTTTTGTCAATATTAAAACAACTTTCCGATTGTTTGAAGGTTTATATTTCACAAAGACCAATCTCTTGTAGCATCTTATGTGTATTAAGAATCTTGAAAATAGTGTCATCAGCTTCTAGATATTCTATATTTCGTTGTTCATTCAACTTTAACGAATAAAGGCTTCAAATGTCTTCTCATATAATCGTTTTGATGATTAAAGGATGCAAAATTCCACATAGGCTTGTGAATTCCTCTAGAAACATAAGCTATCATGCAAGTCCAAATCAATTTGTTATGCCTCAATTTTATATTCTTACATTTTTTATTTATTATAAGTCACTTTAAAAATATACCAAAACATATGTCATTTTATAATACTAATAAACCATTAATGTTATTTCTTTTAATTATATACCTTTGAATGTTAATTACTCTACTTTCTTTAAATTTTTTAGATTTATCTTTTCGAAAATACCATTAATAAAACAAAATTTTGTAAAATTAATCATAATTTTTCTTTTAAAGATAAAGTTAACTATATTTCCGAAATGTTTTTTTTATCACAATTTTTTTTAATTTATCTTTTCAAAATGTTTGATGCATGTGTAATGTGACATTATTAATTAAGTTAACGTGTTAACTTAGTCTTGATATCATATAAAATTCAAATTAGATGTGTCATATTCAACAGGTATAACCCTCAAAGTCAATCCATTCTAAGTAATTGAAAATTTGCTCCGCCAATTTCTCTTTCAGCATATGTTTGTCTTGAATGACCATGACCATGACCATGAAACCATACTCAATTTCACAGACTTGTTGCAATAAGCACATACTGCTATTTTTCTCAACTTTTCAATGAAGTCAATTCCGGTTTATCGCCTTATAATATTTCAAGTTTACAAATTTTTTGTTGTAACTTCAAGTTGAGCCAACAAAATATGTCATAGAAACACATTTCCATGTCTAAGCCTTTCTAGACAATCAAGGACAAACCAAACCAGCAGAAAATATATATACTTCATTGTTCAACATGTTGAACAAAAACCAAAACAGAAGACAAATTAAAGCATAAGCTGTTATTGTTTTACAGTGCTACAACAACTCTCATATATCTATAACCATTCAACAAGTATTTATCAACCTACATACCCCTTGAACCTGGAATATCAACCCAGTGCAACTGAAGCTCCACTTCCCCACATTCAACATTTCTTAGTCTAAGAACCATGTTTTGGAAAACTTTACCATCTTTCCAAATAATGTGACTCTCTTCTGCTAAGCAATTTTGTCTGCTAGGCATCACCTTTGTGACTATAGTTTCGTTCGGAAGACCTTCCAACCGCATCTTTATTGCTTCAACAAATGGACCTATGTCAAACTCCGCGTCCCCCATTTTGTCATCCAAGCTGAATGTGTCCTTGTCGTACACATGCTGCATCACATGATTATGTTTAGCATATTTCACTGTCTCAATTTATTTCTCATACTGCACATCACATGATCATGTTTCGCATTATTCTGTCTCAATTTTTCATAATCCCCAAAATTTAAATGTGTCTGTGAGTTTCACGTGGTGGTTACCACTTCGTCTACGGGCCTAAAACATGTTTTTACTATGAAGTAATGTTTTTAAGGTTTTAGAAGTGTTCTGTCATATAACAGATCAAAATTTTGCCAGTTAAACTATGATTTGCGGACAGTTTCAACTCTTTATTAAATTTTGATTTTGAAAAACACACATGCTGTAAAAAGAAAATTCACTTACTAGATGAATTGGAGTTTTAGGATCTGAAATTGATAAAGTCAAGTATTCATTCCACTCTGGATTTAGATTTTTCTTAACTACCCTAGTCTTCAGCTTCTGCAAAGGACATAGAATACAGCAATTAGATGGATGAACACACAACCAAAGACACTTCACATTTGAGGTGTGTCAAGTGTCTGACACCGACATAAACATACATGATTAAATTTCAATGATTACGTGTGTCAAGTGTCTGACGCCAACGTACACATACATGATTAAATTTCAACTATTACTCGTAACAACGTGTGTCAAGTGTCCGACACCAACATACACATACGTGGTTAAATTTCAATTATTGCCGGTAACAACGTGTCAGTGTCGTGTCCGACACATTCTTACCATATATCATATCCTTAATTTTACCATACATAAAATTGATTACATAATCTATTGACAATAATTGAAAAGCTACTTTGTGAGTCTAGCAATTTAATTATGAAATCAGCTTAAACTAAGCTCTAAAACCATGTATGCATGTTGAGATAAAAAAAAAAACAGGACAAAGATTAACAAATCTGAAGTACTATGATATAATTCCCAGAATAAAAGCAAAACCAGCCTAATTGAGCCACAAAAGGATTAAAGAAAGTGAGAATTTAAACCTGTTTTCCCATTTTGATGACAACATAAGGATCACTGCTTTTGACATCTCTGATAGCAAGATTGACTCCTCTTTGAACATGAATTTTGAGCAATCCAAGCAAATTCTCCATGGACACAGAATATGTTTCTGTGATAATGTGGTGAAGTTCAGCAGAGTTGAGTTTTCAAAGAGGGAAAGAGTAATGGCAGACGAGTGGGGACCCTTGAATAAAGTATAGTATTTATTTTCAATTCATGAACTTCTTTCTTTCTTTCTTTCTTGTTCTCTCTTTATTTATTGCACAGGTCAGGAAAAAGCTGTCCTTTTTATTGTCCTCTCATACTTTCCATCTATAAAAAGTTTTTCTTTAATATGTTCATTGTTTCATTTTCACAATTTTGTAATTTTAAAATTTTAGAATAATTTAGTGTTTTTAATGTTTTATTGAATATTTTTTGATGCAGTTTTATTCATACCATAAATAAATAAAAAAGCTTTATATATATATATATATATATATATATATATATATATATATATATATATATATATATATTAATTTAGTAATTATGCTTTTTTGTTTAGAGTCAAACAATAACAATTTAGAATTATGTAAATAATTGGAAAATAGAGTACTCTATAAAACAATATATCACATACAATTAAACAAAATTATTATATTTGTCATCTATACAATATAATATAATATATAAAGAGAATATTTTATTTTGGTGGGACCTATTTTTCTACTATTTTTATTTTTATTTTATTATAATTTATTTAATAATTTTTGTATAATTTATTATATTTAATTTCTATATAACTTTTTATTATTAACTTTCACATATTATATTTTTTAAAAAATTTATTTTAAACATATATCCTTATGCGCATTAAAAAAGCGGACAGACGGGAACTTAGAAGCTAGTGTCATATAAATATTTTAAATAATATAAAATAGAGTTCAAATAAAAATTATAAATTTAAATTTATAAATTAATTTCAATCAACTATAAATAAGTATAAATACTTTGGCCGTGATATTTTGTTATATTTTTTTAAGTTATTTTATTTGTATGAATAATATAAATTTGCTGGAGATTCTTTTTTTTTGGTAAGTAATGTCAAATTTGGGTTTGATTTTGATATAATTTATCAATTTAAATAAATTATAATAATTTTTTATTAAAAAAATAATTAGTACATACAGCAATGTAAATGATTGGGTTTAGATGAAGTGATTAATGAACTTCAATTAGAAAACACTGTTTAAGAAAATTCAAGTTAAATTCTAAATAAAACAATTATTGATTCAACCAAACTTTGAATTAATAAAATGCTTTCCTTTTTAGATTTAGATGATTAAGACAAGAAACAAAGTTTAAATAGTACTTAATTTAGGAATAAGCTAAAAGATAAAATAATTAATATTGAATTTGTAAAGTTATAAAAACACTTTTTTAAAGTGTTTTTCTTTATTAAAGTAACACATGTACTGTGTGTGTGAGAGAGAGTGAAAGAGAGGGAGTTTGTACAATTATAACAAGAATTTGTCACTAAGTTTTAGTACCATTTTTGTAAACTCCGCCCAAAAGAGAGAGAGAGAGACAATTAGTGGACTCACTTAGCATTTGACTAACCCTTAACAACTTTTGATTTTTTTTCCTTCCATTTTCAATATTTGGTGATGGCGTACAAGAATATGGCATATTGGAAGGCAGAAGACGTGTGAAGCATATACCTAATAGAGAGAAGTAGTGATTATTTGGTCAAATTGTTAGTTGGACACCCTTAAATATAATTATTCTTCGCAAGTTTAGTAAGCACTTTCCAACAATTAACATTAGAAGTTTTTGACCTTATTAGACTTAGGTGAACCATCATTAGATTTACTTGATTCATTTTCACTTTGGATAGTTTATTTCTCATAGACTAACAACCAAATTCATTTCATCTACAAATTCATTATAAACCGTTTGAATCCATTTCAAGTTATCACATATGTTCTAATATTTCATATTCTCTTAAATGTTCAATTAGGTGTCAGTGGAGATTAATTAAATTTCTGTGTACTTTATTTTTTATTAGTCAGAATAATTAGAGCTTCTGAATACTCGAAATGATGTCAATTGGTACCAATAGAGTAATTAATAGACTCTAAATAAGTAAATTATAAACCAAAAAGACATACCAATATTAATAAGTATAAGAGAGGACATTTGATAACTCTAATATTTGGTCAATTGGTGTTAGATGACAAAATATCAAATGAAGATATTTTATACCGTTGTAATATATATATATATATATATATATATATATATATATATATATATATATATATATATATATATATATATATATATATATATATATATATATATATATATATATTGGTGGAAAGAAGAAAGTTGGTAAGAGGAAAAGAGAAGGAAGAGAGAAGGGAAAGAAAGAGAGGAAGAAAGAAGAAACTCATGGAAGAGAAGAAGAAGAAGAGCTTGGATTCATCATCATGATTATCAACTCCATCTCATTTTCTTCATCAAGGTGATTTCCATAGTTAGATTTAGCTTTAGGAGGGAAGAAAATGTATGATTGAAAATTTAGATTTTGTGTGAAAATAAGTCTAAGTGTGAATTGTATGTTACAATTGATAAATTTCTTACTTAATCATGTTATACCATGTTTATTTAAGTGTTTGGATGATGTTTGATCATGTGGGTGTGAGAAATTGGCCATGGTTGCTTTATATTCTCATTCTACAGAAAATGTGTTTCGCTTGAGTCGCTATGCGAGCTTAGGCAATCCCAAAGCGACCGACTGTTCTACTATGGTCGTTGTGCGAGCTTCAGCAAACGGAAAAACGAACTGCTCGATGTTTGGCCGCTAGGAGACCATGAACCAATTTTAGTTCTGTCTGCACATCGCCTTGAGTTCGCTGTGCAAATTGAAAGCAAGTCAGGCTCGCTTTGTAGTGGTTGTGCGACCCTGACAGAGTTTAGTTTTCTCGTTTCTTGTTTTCTTCATAATTTGTGAACCGTAACTCAGATTGAGGTACGGTTGGAAGTGTTGAAAATTTATTCTAATGTTATTGATTGATAGAATAACAACAAATTGAATTGATTGTGGAATACCATGAGTATTGATTTTCTATTTTAGTGAGGGACTGTAATACCCCAAATTTTGCCCCGAGATTATTAGGTTCATTTCGCACGTCATCTCATTCGCATGGCATTGTAACTAACCACTAACAGGTGTGTGTAGTCTGTTTGGTTTTGTAGGGAAAGTCACATTTGTGCGCTCTTTAGCTTATGAGGGGCAAAATGGTCATTTTGTTTGGATAAAGTTAGCCGGAGAATACAATCATTTGAGTTTAATCAGACAGTTGGATTTATCCGGATAAAGTTGCTCATTTGAATGGTCGGAAGGTTATTCGGAGATTTTGTCGAAAACGAGATTAATCGGTTAATTTGGGGAAATTAAAAATTAATTAAAAATGTAGAATTTCATTTCATTTCATTTCATTTTATTTTTCACTTTTATGTTAAATCAATTTTATTCTATGTCATTTGCATTTCATTTTAACTTAATTTTAGTTCATCTCAATTTTATTATTATTGCATTTTTTAAATAATTTTATTTTACTCTAAATATTTATTTCCACTTCATTTTTTTATATATAATTTTAAATATTTGTTCTCATTTGCATTTTTAAAATATTTTTATTTTATTTTTGAATTAACTATTACTTCATTCTTTTTATTTATTTTTTCATGGTTTTCATTTCATTTTAAGGAAAAAGGAAAAAATGATAATAAAAGAAAGTATACATTTCATAATAATAATTTTTCATTTTTCATTTTAGATCAATTTACATTTTTACATTGTTACATAAAAATTATAACAAAAAAAATAATAAATTACATTTTTCATAAAAATCCTAAAAATGCCTAAGTTCCTAAACTGTCTGATTTTTCTTTGTTTCGATTCCGACTTTTCCGATCTTTCTTTCGAACCTGCAAAATGAACAAAAGCAAACAATAAATTTAATCGGTTAGTTTCCGTCCCGACACCCTCAGAGCATTGTCATCATCGGGTGCGTCGGGAGGGTAACGAATTGCTCCGAAACTAACTCCCGACTCCTTTCCGACATTTCGGTAAATCAAGCAATTTCTGTTCTGCTATTATTTTCCGAGGCAACTGAGAAAGAGAGATAAAGAAGTGCTTTTGAAAAAAAAGCTGGTTTGAAAAAAACACTTATTTGAAAAAGTGTTCTTTTCAGAAAATTGGTTTGCCAAACGTGGCCTTAACGACAACTTTCCAAAAAAAAATCCTAAGTCAATAGATAGAAACCCATTTGTTCCTAAAAAAATCTCCAGCAAAATCTAAACGAACTCAAGGAGGTTCATCAAAACGCAACAAGCAACAACAGATCCACGATAACAAAAGCGCAAACCAAGCTCCTTCAGAATCGCAACCTAACCGTAAATTAGCCAGGCCTTGAATCCTGAAAAATATGCGACAAAGGCGGACAAACAATAATAATCACAATCCAGGCCCACAAATATGGTATTAAACATGCATCATCATGATTTTTCACAGGGGAGGCGGATGAACATCAAGAACAAAAATCCCAGAACGTAAATCACGAACCCTAAGCAACAAACGGCGGCGGCGCAATCGAGGGAGGCTCAGAAAAACTCTTTGAGTTTCATCATCATCACCTCAGAAAGGAGAAGATGATAGAAGTTTCCTAGCACCATCGTCACCCACAGATCTTCGTCGAAGAAGAGGAAGATCGAAACCCGACGACCGTAAATCCCTTGAAGGAACCACTACCACCGGCGTTCAATTGACCATCAGCCTCAGAGAACTCTCATCATCGGCGAAAAATCGTAAGCACTTCTCTAATTTACTTTTTTCTCTCATTTTTTTTCATTATACTTCAGATTGGAAGAAGAAGAGGGCAAACAAGGGGAATGAATCGCATGCAAAGAGGAAGAGAGAGATTGAAACCGAAGAAAGCGAAGAGAAATTGAAGCTTTGAAGCTTCAATGGCTGTCGGCGGCACACATGAAGAAGAAGAATGAGGAGTCTTGGAAAAAAGCCTACGTGGAAATGAAGCAGCAA